CGCATCGTCTCTTGGTCCTGTGTGGTCCCCGACACTTTGTCCTGCCGGCACCACGCCTCTTCTTGTTATTCCTGACATCTTTCCGCCTCACGGCGATCTCCCCCCCCTTGTTCCCTTCGCGTCCGCACACCGTTTTTTTCCGGATGCTGGTCCCAGCCTAGCCTGCGGCCTCCTTGGCCCTCTTGCTGCTATGCCCTGGTGGCCCACCTGGCCTGGCTACCATTTCCCGCGCTGGTGCTTTACGAAGTTTACGCCCTATTCCCTTCTGCCTTTTTTTCTCTTTTTGTAGCGCGCGTCCTCATGTACTACTTTTTTTCGGCGATCCTTCTCCGTTTTCAGGGGAAGGATCGCCTTCACCATTTTCTTAAAGCCCTTTGTCACTTCCTGCTTCAACAATTCCTTCCTTGTTCGGAGGTCTCGGTGACTTCGGGCAGCCTCGAGCTCCCTAGCGCCTGCGCTCACGTCTTTAATTCTACCAGCGTCCTTTCGTCCGGTTTTCTCTGCCGTGCACAAACTGGTCATATTCAGCCTCTTGAGTGACGGGAAATCATTCGAGACTCCCCAGTCCCGACATATTCCCCCCACTCATTCGCGAAGTCCTCATCGCGCACCAATTCATAGTTAGTGGGGATCTCGGAGTGATAGACAGACGAGAAGGGGGGGCAGGGTGAGGTAGGTAGTTAGCTTGCCAGGGTTCTTTTTGTCTTTTCCTATTCTTTTCTCGGGGCTTTTCTGCAATTTTTCGTCTCTTGGGGCGGAGAAGGGTATAGGGGAGTCAAGGTTCTTCTTCAGCTTCTAGACCAGGTTGCTCATTTCCATCATAGCTGTGCTTCTTTATCTTTTTCTTAATTGAGACTCGAACTTCCACTTCAGTCCACCCTGTATACTCAGCAGGGAAGCCCATAATTCTTTCGGCTTTAGTATTATGGAGCAGACGAAACCCTCCTCACCCCATGCACTTAACTACTGGCATGCTGGCTTTATTCCCAGGGTGACAATTTGTTGTCATAGCACAATTGGTTTTCTCATTATATGCCTTAGCATTGTTGATCAACAATTTTAGGTAAGTTTTCGGTGTGACTCAATGTCAGGCATTTGCTCCGGAAGGGGGGGTTCGCCCAGTACAACGGCCGCCTTTGTTGCGGGGCTACCCACTTCGGATCAATGAACACATGCACAACTCTCTAAATGCTTTGTAATCTCAAATCTATCTTCCCATTTCATTGAGAAAATGTTCTCGAGCAGACTCCCTTTCTGTTTTGTCTCATTCATTACTCTTAGAACACCCACAAGCAATCCGCTCTTCATCTTTTCAATACATCTTCCCCTCCCCAAGGCTTAGGCTTAGCCAATTCCTCATGCATTTTCCGAGGTCGTTTTCTCAAGCTTTTCTCAGGTCCTGCCAATTCCGCATGCATGTCACCCTTTTGTCCTTTCTTGCCTCTTCACTTGGTTGGCTTCCCATGTGTGATGCTTGGCTCAAGGCACCTTATCAAACCCTCTCCTCAAGCCCATGCAATATCAATCACTCATCCATTCCCAGGTTCATGCGGGGTCAATCCCAGTCATTCTGCCAGACTCTTTCCTGAGGCTCACACCAATCACTTGCTCAAGTCTTTTCTGCTCTGGGCATCTTGCCAGACCCTCTTTTCTCAGGCCTCAAGCAAGCTAATTTCAAGCATCTTTACCAGGCCCCCCCCTTTTTCCCAGCCCTGTGCAAAGCCAATTACAGGTCTTTTTCTGTTCTGGGCATCCTGCCAGGCCCTCATGCGAAACCAATTACAAATCTTCTTTCATGCGTGTTTATTGGTTGGCTGACACACCTTCCCCCCACTCAAAACGCGATGTCCCCATCGCGCGACTGGTTCTCACTCGGAGGTACGCAGACCTTTGGCCCGCCGACCTCGAGTCAAGGACATAAGCCCATCTGCTTCACAAAAGGAAGAGTGATCAGTTCCTCCCCAGCGGACGATGCCTCATCCTTCTACCCGGTCCGACCTTTCCTCTCTTACGTGGCGAGCGCCGATACCAAGGTTCCTCCTCGCGTCAGTCAGGTAGGTCCAAACCAAGCCTGCCAGGGCCTCGTCTAGTCGTAAGAGTGTTCCTCGCGAATCGTTCCTCCCGAGTGGTAATTTTCTGGATTCCGGCCTCTTCCTTTCAAGAGAGTTGGGGCTCTCAATTAGTCCGCGAGTGCAGTTACGAAGACCTCGCAATTAGTCCCGAAACGATTGTAATGTTTCGGCAGGGCAGTGTCAATGCCCCGTGGTGGTCGCTGACTCCACCTGGTACCTCGCCCAGCCTCTCCCCTTGGACAATGCCACCCAACTTAGCGCGGGCAGCCGTGGTCCGATCCAAACGGCCATGCCACCCCTCTATGACATGGTGTGTGGTTGGAGAGTAGCAAAATAGACTAGATGAGAATGACTCTCTCGCCCATTTGACTCTCTCGCC